CCCTTTGTTTTCCAAAAAACTGTCTCGTCAGTTCCCTGGTACTCATCTGTCAATACAGCAGGCACCTGCTCTGATTCCTCACCACTTCTAGCTTGAGCTCCTCTCCCAGCCTTTAGTTGGCATATTATACCTTTATCTCTTCATTCTCAGGGTACCCCATATATTACTGACTTGGCTTCTTAGAACAAGTTTTCTTAACATTAAAAAAAATATCCTCTTGCCATCTGTCTGTGCACTTTGCAGAAGTGTCTATTTAAGTCTTTTGCCCACTTTTAAATTGGATTATGGCCAAGGGACATATAAAAACATAGTCAAAGTCACTGATCATCAGATAGATGCAAATTAAAACGACCGTGAGGTATCACCTCACACCTGTCAGAATGGCTACCATTAACAAATCAACAAATGACAATGTTGTGAGGATCTGGAGAAAAGGGAACCCTTGTGCACTGCTGCTGGGAATGCAGACTGGAGCAGCCACTGTGGAGAACAGTATGGAGTTTCCTCAAGAAATTAAAAATGAACTGGCCATTTGACCCAGTGATCCCACTTCTAGGAATATATCTTAAGAAACCTGAAATGCCAATCAGAAGGAATACTGTATATGCTTCCTTATTTTCATAGTGGTGCGATTTGTAATAGCTAAAATCTGGAAACAGCCCAAGTGCCCATCAGTAGATGAGTGGATAAAAAAGCTGTGGTACATCTACACAATGGAATGCAATGCAGCAGAACAAAAGGAGGATCTCTTACCGTTTGAGGCAGCATGGAAGGACCTGGAGAGCATTATACTCAGAGAAATAAGCCAGTCAGGGAAAGACAAGTGTCACGTGATCTCACTCATATGTGGAGTCTAATGAAAAAAATAAACTGATCAACAAAATAGACACAGAGACATAGAAGCATAGAACAGACAGACAAATCTCAGAGGAAAGGCAGGTGTAGGTAGGTGGGTGGATGAATGGGGAGAGATTAACCAAATAATTTATATGCATATATGTATCACCCATGGACACATACAATAGTGCAGTGAAGGCCTGGGGGAGGGGTGGGTGTGGGGTTGGAATCAAGGGGCAGAAAAAGGAAACATCTGTAATACTTTGAACAATAAAGATACATTTTTAAAAAATCCTCTGTTCCGAAGCCAACAGTCATTTTAATGTTCAGGCTGCTTTCCCTGATTATGGGTGAAATTCACCCTTTCCATACTTATTCCGATTGAATGAATTACTAATAATGTATACTCTTTTCTCCCATTAGAGAATGTTCTCATTCATTAATAATAATGACATATCGCTTCTTTGGAGCTTGCTGTGTGCCAGAACTGTTGGACATGCTTCACATTCATTCTGCTACTCCCAATTGTAATAAGTAAAATGAGAGCTCTCACATGGTCAGTGCTCTCACAAGTAAGATCAACTCTTAACAAGTGCTTAATACATGCTCTCTTCTCCTGCGCTGCACTCCGTTTCCCACATGCGGTGCTTAGTGCCATCCTTTGCCTTTGTACATGGTGTTCTCGCTTCCTACAATATTTCTTCCTTTTGGTGTATCCAGTTCATATTCACTACCCAAACACTGCCTCCACTCATTCCGTTCTCGTGGACCTTTCCTACTGTCAGAACACTAATCTTACCTAATAATAGACAAACATGTTAATTGACCATACGTCCGCTATACCACCAGCCAATCAGGAGTGATATGCAAATTAACCCAACCAAGATGGCAGTTAATTTGTATACTCAGCCGCCTAGTGATGGGGGCGGGACATGCAGGTGTTCTGCCCCACCCCCAGTCTCTCAGGGCTTCTGACAGCATGGGAAGGTGGGGCCGGAGCGGAAAGGTGCTGGGCCGGCAGCCAGGGAAAGGAAAGCCCATTCTAGCAGGAATCTTCATGCATTAGGCTTTTAGTGTATGATAAGGAGTTTGACATGGTTTGCCTTGTAACTCCCTTTTATCTTTCACTTTTTCTAAAAATTTTAATAGTGCTTTACTGGCATCAAATACTTGTTGAATGAATACATTCTCCCCTTCTCAAGTAGACATCAGCTTTCTGGAAGGGTTAGCCCAGTCCTTAATTTCTTCTCATCCCCTCAGATCTCAGCAATGTGGGGGAGTCCAAGCCATCTGTCATTTGGAACTTTCATGGGAAAATACTTTTTTAATACCATGCACATACATACACTTCAATGAAGAGGGGCAAAAAAAGATTCAGAGATAGAAGTCTGAGAAGTAGGTAAATTCAGAATGAGATTCATCAGCCACATGTTTTGGGCAATATTGAAAGCTGTAAATTCTGAGCGGGTATTATAGGTGAAACACTGAGCTAAGTGTTTTACATTCATCATCTTAGTTCTTAGAACCAAATTATTGGGTGGATGCTTCTGCAGATGCTCAGAAGGGTTCCCTAGCAGCTTGCAAGCAACAGAACCCAGTTTAAACCAGGTAGTTTTTACTCTAAACACGTGTCTTTCAGCCCTATTCCATATATCATCCTATTCGGCCTCATTGCTGGAGTTTTCAGCCCTTGAGAAATACCTCCCTGTTGACGTTCACCGAGTTTAAATACATTAGATCATGCTTTTGTTTCCAGCATAAACAGTCAGTACGTGTCAGCCTTTATTTTCTGCTATTTTCCAATTTACACCGAACTGTTCATGACATTGTCTTCCCCTTACGCAAGCTTCTCTTTAAAGGCAGAATCAGCTGTTTACTCTGTCTGCGAGCTCTGGATATGCATGCGTGTGTTTATATGTGTTTGGGCATCCATGAGGGCGCCGAGGATTTAGAGGGTGAGAATGAAAAGTGAGCTGCTTTGCTACTGTTTTCCATCAGCTCTCCCGTTGGAGTGTATCTGCAGGGATGCCTGCCTGAGTTCACAGGGCGAAGCAGGTGATGGATGGGTCCAGACCCTCAGTGTCTCAGAAGGAATCTTGAGTATTGATCTATTTTGTGTGTTTTTACAGCACAGGATTCTAGGCAGTATTTTCAAGATCTCTCATTTCATTTTTCTGCAAATTGGAGAATGACGGAACCGTGGAAGGAGTTAGCACTCTAATTCTTATTTTTGTGTATACTATCCAGTGCATTTAAGAAGTAAGACTTGACTAAAGAATAACCAGTTTAGTGAGAATAAGTAAAACCCTTTTGTTGGAAGTTAAAACTTTTTATATAGTTTCAGACATACAGAAAAGTTATAAGAATAATATAAGGAACTCCTGTATACCCTTAACTTATTTTAGAATAGAGTAATGCATTAAAAATGTTTATTTATTTAATGTTTGCATTTTTAATTATACTAGACGCCCAGTGCATGAGATTACTGCACTGGGGGGGAGGGGGGAGGGAGGCCCCTCAGTCCTGCCTGTGCCCTGTCACAGTCTGGGAGGCCTTGGGGAATGCCCCACTGATGGCTTAGGCCCACTCCCTGGGGGAGCTGGCTTAGGGCTTCAGGCTGAGTGGTGATCCCCCTGTGGGAGCACAATGACCACCAGGGGCCAGCTCCTGCATTGAGCATCTGCCCCCTGGTCAGTGCACATCATAGCAACTAGTTGTTCTGCCATTCGGTCAGTTTGCGTATTAGCCTTTTATTATATAGGATAATAGATCATGTTGTTACCACAGTGGTAGAAAAAGATTTTGTTAGCTAGGCCTGCTCCCTGCCACCAGGTTTCATCCTATATAATAAAAGCTTAGTATGCTAAGTGTCTGGTCGGCCATTCAACCAATCAAAGCGTAATATGCTAATGATACACTAAAGCCACTCAGCTGCTTGCTGTGACATGCACTGACCACCAGGGGGCAGACAGCTCACCGGTTGACCAGTCACTATGATGTGCATTGACCACCAGGGGGAAGATGCTCCAACTGGTAGGTTAGCTTGCTGCTGGGGTCCAGCCGATTTTGACTGAGCAAGACAGGCCCAAAATGCCCTGGAGCCCTCCCGTAACCCCTCCCCAGCTGGCCAACATCCCACGTCCTTCCTGGACCCTGATCATGCACCTTTGGCCTGGCCTGTGCCCTCTCACAATCTGAGCTGAAGGTCACACCCCTCCCCCAAGTGCATGAATTTCATACACTGAGCCTCTAGTTGATATATAAATGACATTTAACACTATAAACTCAAGATGTACACTCTGGTTTGATACATTTTATATTGCAAAATGATTGCCACCATGGCCATAGCTAACACTTTCACCCTATCACATAATTAACATTTTTGTGGTGAGACATTTAAGACCCTATGCTTAATTTTAATGCCTCCTAAAAGTTTTTTTAAATGGAGATTTCCTTCAAACATAATGTTACTGTCAGAAATGTTTGTCTCCTGGCATTCAGTCCCTGGCCCTCATACTTTTAACCCTCTCACAATATTCTTACAGATCAATATTAAAAGATTTCTGTTTTAAAGTTTTAGGGGAATTCCAATTTGGAGTTTGAGGCTAAACTACTATTCATTGAAAATAAATCAAATACTATTTCAGTAGGGTTGGAAATATGAGAACATTCCGGCAAATCCCAAGTGTAAGAATTCTACTGAAATAGGAATGAAAAGTGAGCCTCATTTTATTTTGCAGTTGTAGAACTATAATATTCTAGTGGCAAAATGGAAGAGTTTTTTTTCATGGTTCAGTTTTAAAATGATGTTTGAGCTGACTGCATTAAAACAGTGTAATTAAAAGTATTTGTAAATTTACTATCCAATATGCTGTTTCTTAGTTATGTCTTAGAATAAGGTAGTTAAATATTTAACTAAGATTTTATCACATGTACTTGTTTTCATATTATTTAGATTATGTTAGAACCAAATTACATAATTTGTGAGAACAATTTAATTATAAAGTTGAGAAATACATGCGAGGTATTTTTATTTCATTTATAGACGTGAACAAGAGAAAAAAAAAGCTGTTTATTTAAATAAGGTGAATCAATGAGCCATCTTTTATCAATATTTGCATGAAATTATACATAGTTTAATTAATTTGCATTTTCAATTTCAGATTCAAAACGCTAATGATGTATTAATTGCTCCGCTTGAGAAATTTCGAAAAGAACAGATAGGCGCAGCAAAAGTAAGTGTTCCGTTTTATTATTCCTCAGATATTCTCCTGGTAATTAAAGATGACATAATTTCAGATGTTAACATTTTGATATTAGAATGACCTTTTAAAAATTCTGTACGTCATTTTTAACTTTTGCACTGAGCCTATTACAAAGACCGGCATTTCTTTAAACATAAAAGACCTTCTACTGAACAGAGAAAAAGTCAGCTTCAGTGAGTTCCTTCCATTACCACAGCTGGAGAGAAGCATTTGAAGAGGGGTGAAGTTATGGCAAAATTACGAGCTTTGCTCCTAACATCTATAAAATAAAAATTAGGCAGAGGGCATATTGAACATTCAGGCAGTTATCATCAAAAAACTTTTATTACTTACTAGAGGCCTGATGTACCAAATTCTTAAAAGGGTAGGCCTTCCTTCCCCTGGCTGCTGGCACCGGCTTCCCTCTGGCACCGGGGACCCAGGCTTCCCTCGCAGCCCTGGCTTCATCCGGAAGGTTGTCTGGAATGATGTCCAGTAATAGCAAATTACACTTTTATTATTATAGTCTGTGTTTTTTCACTATTAAATAAAACGTGTTTGTGGGGAAAAAAACCTTGGACATGTTTATCAAGCCTTTCCAGTGATCTTTAGTTGATTATGTCCCAATTAATAAAATTTCCCTGAGCCTAATATTTTTGAAATTTACTCGCACCCTTTTTCTTAGATCTGCATTTTAACTACCTGCACAACGTTATGTAAGGACATAAACTTTAGCGTTTCCAAAAACAGAACTCATCACTTCACCCATTCTTTCTCAAAATGTTTTGGTTTTCCATGTAGTCGGTGACATAGCCCTTTCCCATGCGGGCAGAACTCTCCATTCTAATGCAGAATTATTTTTTCTCCTTTTCACCTTCTCTTCCGTCTGAAATATTGAAATAGCTTATTATCAATAGTTGGTCTCCACACGCACATCCCAATCTGTCATCTGCCTTCCTGTCTGTCATTCTTGGATAGTTATCTCTCTGAGAGACAGTTTTCTCCTGATAAGAAATGCACTCCACACCACGCCCATCTGCTGTGTTCATTATACCGCCCTCCTCTGGCACAATTGCCTGCTCACCAGTCTCTGTCCATGGATTTGCCCAACCTTCCTCTCTCCCCGGAACATTCCTTCCCCTGGTTGAGGTCATGCTGACTCTCCATGACTGGTCACCCAGCACCAGAAAAAAGCCTCCCATATACAGGCCTCATTCAGTCCTCTCCCAGAATTGATATTCCCCCCTCATAGCATCCAGTAGTCCTAATGCTTGTTTCCTGTAAAAAGCTATCACAGTCTGCCCTCATTTAGGTTTTCATACATTTCTTCACTATTTATGGAAAATTATCAAGTCCAGGAGTAAGCAGGAACTATTTTTGTGTTAATTAATGCAGCAAATGTTTATCAATGTCCTGGCTGGCCTCTTTGCAACAATCCTGGTGTTTGAGATGAAGGGATACAACTGTACACAAGACAGGCATGCTCCCTGCACTCGTGTCCCTAATTATCTTTTGTGGAAAACAGACACCAAAGGAATTGCAAAGGCACTGATGTCCAAGTGCAGGGTGCTTTCGGAGAGGGTAATGAATGGGACTGACTTTGTCCTGAGAACCAGGACATGCTTTTTGGAGGAGGGACTGGTTAAGCAGAGAAATACATAAAGGAAGAGAAAGAAATAGCCAGCTGTGGGCATACAGGGGTGGAAAGGGGACAACCTTCCTTACCTTCCTGAAGAAGGAACAAGGTGGTGGGGATGAATCGAAGTCCCGAAGAAGGAGAGAGGCCAGCATTTTAAAGGAAAAAGATCCAGTGTGTTCGGAATGTAGAGGACCATGGGAAGAACGGAGGACGGGTGCATTTTTAAATATTACTCTAGTTTCAGGGCTATGGATTGGAGGAAGCGAGACTGCTTTTGTGAAAATCAGTTTGGGGGCTGTAGGTTAGTGGCTTTAGATTCAGAAGGAGATAGTAGCAGTGGAGACCAGGGGCATATTTCAGAGGTACAATGGAAAGGGGGTAGGAAACAGGTTACACAGTTAGAAGTGAGGGACAAGGCGTTTCCGAGGTAACTCCCAGGGGTCTGGGTTGCACACTCCTGTGGCTTTGCAGCTACTTAGGGAGACAGGCAATGTTGATGTTTGGATGGCAGGATGGTGATTTGGGTGATTTTAGACATGACTTCGAGGTTCCTCTGAGACATCTCCACGTGGAGACATTGAGTTGTCAGGTGTGTAATCGGATTTGAATTAGAGATACACCTTTGGGAGTTATGGTTCTCTAGGTGGTAATTAAAATCATCGGGGGTAGAATAGATCTCACTGGGAAAGAACAGGGTGAGAAGAGGATCTACAGTCTGTATAATCTGAAAACTCTCAACATTAATGTTTGGAGAGAGAAAACTCTACGGTGAAAGGAAGGGGCAGATGAAGGAAGAAAATAACAAGAATGTGGTATTCCAGATCAAGGAAGACTCTTTTCAGGAATAAAGGTAGCTGATCTCTATTGACATTTACATTGTAGTGATTTTCACTGAACTATTACGTCTGCAGCCTAATTAAATCCCCAAAGCAACTGTGTGTTACCCCCTGTTTTACCGTAAGGAAAATGATGAGTGAGATTATGGAGCTAAAGTCAAGCCTTTTTACTTCAAAGCCTTGGTTTACAATATTTCACTTCATTAATTTTTATAAAGCTTTATGAAAGAGCTTTGTGAAAAATCCTTTTTATAGTGCAGAATATTCCAAGTTTTCTGACCCACCGAAACAGTGTATTTCATTTGTGTATGGATCATTCTTTTTGTTATTGCTGTTGTTTTTGTTGATCCTTACCCCAGGATATTTTTTCATTGAATTTTAGAGAGAGTGGAAGAGAGAAGGAGAAACAGAGAGAAACATCGATGTGAGAGAGAAGCATTGATTGATCGCCTCCCGCATGCACCCCAATCAGGGCTAGGAATCCTGCAACCAAAATACTTGCCCTAGACTGGAATCAAACCCGGGACCCTTCAGTCTGCAGGCTGATGCTCTATCCACTGAGCCACACCAGCTAGGGCTGGATTATTCTTATATGAATGTTTACATTAGCTATAGTTGTATAGTTGAGTGGGCAATTACACCCATTTTATTTTTAAAACATCTTACTTCCTGGACAGACCAACTGAGAACACACAGTAGTGTACTATGCCTTTGCCCACTCATGAGAAGGTTAAACCTGTGTTTAAATGAATTTAAATGAGCATAAAGATTATGATTCATGGTCCTTTGGTGATAGTGATTCTGTGAATTTTATTTGATGCTCTTAATGCTCAATTCTTTCTAAGCTGCTAAGTAGTTGTGCTTTAGTAAAGTGAATAAAGAACAGGCATTTTCTTCAGGCATATATGTTTGAGTCCTTTTCTTTTTGTTAGGTATTGCAAAAACTTTGTGGTAGAAGTAGAAATCCTTGCAGGAAAAAAAAAAATTTTTTTTTTTTGTATTGCTTTGCTCCCTGTTTTACTTAGCTATTTTCTCACTTGGTAAATAAAGCTAATTCTACAAGTGACACTCACTGCTTTCCACAGCCTTTAGAGCAAAGGTTCCCACAGCGTGCTCAGGCCCACGAGCCAGCTGGAAGGCAAGAGTGTCTATTAAGTTGAGTGTAGAATCTTCCACTGCAGTCAGCAACCTCCTTCGCTTGGTCCAAGTGGAAAACGCTGAGTCAAAGTGGCCCTCTCCTCACAACCAGATGATCCCATTTAACTGGAGTGGATCAAGGCCATGCACCACAAACGTTTCCTTTGTAGTGCGTTCTGCGGAGCTTTGAGACACCTGATACTTTGCTGTGGAGGCCCTGAGTGCGTTCCAGCGGAGCGGGAAAAGCACCAGGCATCTGTGAGAGGCATTAGGAAAGGTTAATGATGGGGTCGCGGAACTCAAGGACAGAGGCGGTGGGCCTGCTTTGTGAGCAGCTAAAGATTAGAAGAATGATCTATAAACAGTTGTCAAGAATGTATTTGTTTAAGGGTTCTGAGTCTATTGGTATTCGCAGAATGGAACTGCATTGCAGGCCTGGCCATTGCGTGTGTCAGAGTGTGGGATGGAATGTTTGGTTTCTTTAATTTGGCCAAACTGAATTCTAGAAATGAGTGGAAGTGGAAGTGGGTATTCAGAGCTGTTAATTCCAACTTTTCACAATATGAGTATATCGAGAGCAGCATTATAATAGAGCAGGATGAATGATCTCCCCCCCCACACACTTTTTGTATAAAGTTCATTGATTTTATGGGAAATCTCCTCCTTGCTCCCAGAGAGAATCAATTGTAAGTCCTATCTGCATTTTCCACACTTGTTTCATCACAAATTAACTCTTACCAACCAAAGACAAATCCATTATATGTGTGTGTAAACATATATAGTTTCTCAAAAATGGCCCTAGCCAGTTTGACTCAGTGGATAGAACATCAGCCTGCAGACTGAAGAGTCCCAGGTTTGATCCTAGCCAAGGGCACATGCCTGGGTTACAGACTCAATCCCCAGTAGGGGACTTGCAGGAGGCAGCTGATCAATGATTCTCTCTCACCCATGATGTTTCTCCCCCTCTTCCTTCCTCTCTGAAATCAATAAAGAAATATATATATATATTAAAAATGTATACACACACTTTTAATAATTCTAAAGGCAGTGCTTATTAAAATGCATTTCAGCCTTAGCTGGTTTGGCTCAGTGATTAGAGTGTCGGCCGGCAAACTGAAGGGTCGTGGGTTTGATTCCAGTCAAGGGCATATACTTCAGTTGCAGGCTCAATCCTGGATCCTGGGAAAGGCAACCAATTCATGTGTCTCTCTCACATCCATGTTTATATCTCTCTGTCTCTACCCCTTCCTTTCATTCTTTCTAAAAATCAATGGGATAAATATTCTCAAGTGAAGATTAACAACAAAAAATGCATTTCATTTTCAAAACTGAGCTCTTAGCTAGTAAAATATTTATGCATTTTGGGGGGACTCCCTGTA